TACTATGTTATACATGTATGCAAGCATAAGTGTGCAGCTGTAGATAGATGAACCAGTACCTAAACAATCTCACTTACACACGCGTTACTATGTATGACAAGTGTTACCAAGTACACCAAGTGTACACTTTATCACTTAGAATACACTTGTGTTGATGTAAATATAGGCGAGAGTGGTACACCGCTGGCCGTAATAAACACACTCAACTTCTCAAGGTCACACACTAGGCCCAGCTTCTGGAGAGGTACCAACGTTTTAGTGTGTTTATTATGTGTCAGTGCGTGTCTGCAGTCATTAAATTGGTGTATCAGAAGTTAAACACTACAATCCAGTTGATCAAATAGTCTAAAACAATTTACACTATGTATAACTAGAAGTATAATGATTGCAAATTGTTACTATTACAATTTTAACTAGGTGCTAGACCCACTAGATGAGATGGCAAGGAACATAGATGTTAACAGGCTGACTCTTGCTTAACACAGCTGAAAGGTAACCGAATTACTCAAGAGAGAAAGTATTCATGAAACTGAACATTATGCAGGAGTAAGCTTGTTCACAGTAAAAATACAAAGCATAAGTTACACACTCACACCACAGATGAACACTGCAATTTGAAATATTACTGGGAATTTAGCAGTAAAGTTTCAGTCTGAACGAGAAAATGTATTAGAAAACACAGCAATGACACTAGGACACGCAATTTAATTATGTAACCGTATTTAATAGTTCAGTTACACTGAGCAGAGTATGTATTACACTGATTTATCAAATGTAAGGAGTCGCTACACTGAAGCACACTCTGAGCCTTTTAAAGTCTTAATACAGGCTTACAAATGACAATTAACTGTTGGGGAAAGCAGCACTTAACACTTCTAGCACAAGTATGACAGATGAATGTTCACTGTGTACAAGCCAATCACCATCAAACTTACTATGTTTATAAGTGAACCTCTGGCATGTCCCACTTAAAATGTCAGTACTGCAATGCTCGTTAAATTGTTCTTAAGCCACTAGAGGAAACACTGGTATGCCAGCAGCACTGTAGAACGTATACATAGACATGCTGGGCCTTAGGACAGCTATAACTGCAGGCTGCCTTAGCTTGTTCTGGCTTTGCTTTTAGTGCTGCTTTCAAGCTTGCTTGACTGTGCTTGCTAAGCCCGTGTCAACCACCTGGATATTTGCTTGTAGCAGGCAGGTAAGCACACAGGAGACACATTCGTAAGATGAGTGGAGTGCGGCACAGAGGACACGGGCACTCAAGTACTTATGTGGTCTGGCAAAAACCGCCTCTAGACCATAAGTAAATAGAGGCGAATGGCTGAGTTCCAAATCGAGGAAGGAGAAGGGACAAGGAAGGGATATTCACCTCGCTAGACACAGGCAATATGGGTGTAGGGGCCTGCAGGTCGCAGTGCAATTTTCAAGGTCATTCACTGGGCCCACAGTCGTCTCGAGAGTTACCAACCCTGTACTACTTGTTAATTACTCCAAACCCACAGCACTTAACACATCTAGCACATGTGTCTTGGAATGACAGACAAATTTTCACTACATAAGAACTAGTTCTCACAGCACCGAAGGTACGGCCAAAACACTGTAGAACGTTCACAAAGGCATTCTGGGATTCAGAATGCCTTGGCCTTCACTGGCTGGCTTGGAGCGCTGTTTGGCCTGGATCAGCTAAACTCGCCCTTATCCCATATGTAGATAATGGTGACGAGTTAAGGGATACCGGTGAATAGGAAAGTCGAGGAAGGGACATTCACCTCACTAGACACACGCAGTATGGGTGTAAGTGGCATGCGGGTCTTATAGTGCCATTTTCAAGGTCACCCAGCAGGCCAGACATTCCTCACTCATTTTAAGCCTACGTAGGTACTGATGGTAGCACAATGTCCTACGTAAGCATAATCCACTCATGCAAATAGTTACAACAAATCTGAAGCACTTGCGGAACTCATATATTCGAGTACCAGCGGAGCAGCAAAATACACCTCTACACTGCACCTTGATAGAGGCGAATGGCTGAGTTTAAAGGCGGAGAGTTGGGGATACAGAACAGCAGGGGTAACTGAGCACACACATTCGCCTTTCTTTACATAGTCAATGTGGGCGAAAGTCTCAGGCAGGTGATGCAGTGCCTCGCTCAAGGTCACTGACTGAGGCAGACTTCTCAAGAGTTACCAAACACTGCAATACTCGTACAAATTGTTACTCCAAACTTGCAGAACTTCTAGCACACGTGTCTTGGAGTGAAAGACGAATTTTCAGTGTGTGGACACCTGGGTTACCAACTCACGTAGGACTGCACACTCGTCGTTATTCCTCAGGTTGGTAAAGCGATGAGCTGTGAGCATTTTGAAAGGCACGAGTAGCAGTGGACTAGCAAAATTTGCCTCTACACTGTATGTTGATAGAGGCGAAAGGCTGAGGTCAAATGAAAGGCAGAGGGGAAGCAGAGGCCTGTGAGGGCCTTTGCAAAAAGGAAAACTATTTCCAGCGTTTCACTAGGTATATCCTTAGTCACAGCTCGCACATAACAGTTCTCCCAACACTGAAGCTGTCTTCCAACAGTAGGAGTTTTAATGATGACTTATCAGTCGGGAGAAATGGGTAGGCCTGCGAATTAGTAGGTCCAGATCCCCAGCACACGTCTACTCCCCTCAACCACTCAGCCGAGACTGCCATATGGTACATTGTACCATACAGTACAATGATACCATATTGCAATTGTACCATATGGTACAATGGCACCATATGATACAATGGTACCATATGGTACAATATGGTACAATGGCAGATACAATGGTACCATAGTACCATATGGTACAATGGCACCATATGATACAATGGTACCATATGGTGCAATGGAACCTTATGGTACCATATGGTGTAATGGTATCATATGGTACCATATGATGCAATGGTACCATATGGTACATTGTACCATACAGTACAATGATACCATATGGTTCATTGTACCATATGGTACTGTTGTATTCAACACAATAAACACACTAATATTTTCATTATTTTGTTTACAATAGTTGTTTACAACAAAAATATGAAAAAATGTTATATATTAGTAATGTTCTATTATACATTTACAAGTGTACAGGAACTTGACGCATTCCTTGAGGTGGATGACAAAGCACTTCGTCTCGGAAACTGGAGAGTCAGTAGCTAGCTTGTGCCTCCACTCACTCAGTCTTGGCTGGTGTCTCATGCCACCAACACCTATTGACCATATGGTACACGGTATCATATGTTACAGGGTACCATATGGTACACTGTACTATATGGTATAGGGTACCATGCAGTACAGGATAACATATGATGCAGGGTACCATATGGCACAGGGTACCATATGGTATAGAGTACCATACAGTACAGGACACCATATGGTACAAATACAGGGATAACTATGGAAATAAGTCACCCTGACTTTTTTGGGTTATCCTAGGATTTTATACGCATGCTGCTATGTATGACGATCTATGTAATTGTATTTTTGTACACCTGAATAAACTTACTCAAGTGCATGTGCATAAGTAAGTTTAATTAGTTATACACAAATAAAGTTACATAGAATTGTCATATTTAGCAGCATATGTTTGGAGAACCTAGGATAACCCAAAAAAGTCAGACAGACTTATTTCCATTAGGGTCCCTGTACCCTGTACCATATGGTACAATGTACCATATGGTACAATGTACCATATGGTACCACTCTACCATATGATACCATTGTACCATATGATACCACTATGACATGGTACCATATGGCACAATGGTACCATATGGTTCAAAACCGTAGAATTCGTCTTCATATCCACTTCCAACGGTCTTTGAACTGTAAGTTGTGAAGAGGAGAGTCAGAATTCCCCCAGAGAGTGAGTGGGGAGTGAGAGCTTCCTTGCCGTCAGGCATAATGAACAAAGCTACTTTGCCAGTGTTCCCACAATGCCATGCGAGCGTCCAGATTTTTTCTATGGTGCGCACACTGATCACCCAGACCCATTCTCTCAGATGTAGGCCTACCAGCCTTCTCGTGCTAAATTTGACGCTGCTAGAATTTTGGCGTAGATCTACGGTTTGGACCCTGAACGTAAAGCCGTAGATCTACGGGGCGGACCCTGAAAGGGTTAAAAAAAAAAAAGAAAAAAAAAAAAAGGTTAACCAGAGTTAACCCGGTCTGACTCCATGCCATAGAGACAATGGTCCCTTCAAGTAGGCTGTAACATCTAAATAAATTAACTATTAAATAATTTTTTTTTTTTTAACAAGTTGGCCGTCTCCCACCGAGGCAGGGTGACCCAAAAAAAGAAAGAAAATCCCCAAAAAGAAAATACTTTCATCATCATAAGCATCAGCCAGTATCTCAAGCCCCTCCTTTAAAGTGCATGTGTTGTACTTTTTACCTCCAGGACTCAAGTCCAGCTAACTGGTTTCCCTAAATCCCTTCACAAAATATTACCCTGCTCAAACTCCAACAGCTCATTAGGTCCCAAAAACCATTCATCTCCATTTACTATTATCTAACATGCTCACTCATGCCTGCTGTACGTCCAGGCTCCTTGCACACAAAACCTCTTTAACCCTTAAACTGTCCAAACAGATCTATGTTCACATGCGTAGTGCTCCAAAAGTAGATCTACGTTTTTTTTTACATATTTTCAAATATAACAAAAAACGTAGATCTAAGTTTTTTTTACACATTTTCATTTTTTTTTTTTTTTCCAACAAGTTGGCCGTCTCCCACCGAGGCAGGGTGACCCAAAAAAGAAAGAAAATCCCCAAAAAAGAAAATACTTTCATCATCATTCAACACTTTCACCACACTCACAAATTATCACTGTTTTTGCAGAGGTGCTCAGAATACAACAGTTTAGAAGCATACACATATAAAGATACACAACATATCCCTCCAAACTGCCAATATCCCAAACCCCTCCTTTTAAGTGCTATTAAATAATATATTTGAAAATACACACGGAGTCGATTGTGTTTGGGACGTCCTGAGTGGGCTGTGGTCAGGTTGTTTACTGAAAAACGGCCAGAATCCTGACGGCGACGGTGACGAGTAGCTGAGTGACGGTTACGATCTTTGGGTGGGACAGGAGGCTGCTGAGTGCGGCGATGGGATCGAGCAGGAACCTCACCATCATCATTTTCCTCTTCTATCAAATCTTCTTCACTGGTGACAAATGAACATGATAAAGAAGATAAATGTCACCTAGATCATCCTATCTAAACAACTTTCATTAGAACTATTATGGCAGTACACTACTATAGTAGTAGACAGAACCTTCAAAATTAATTTATTTTAAAGCTACAGATTCACTTGCTGAAACCCTCCTAGGTATATCAGTAATGTTAGGTTTCTATAAGCATCAAATTTAATTCTAATCTGAGCTATAATTTTAGAAAGGGGGGAAAAAAAAAAAAAAAAAAAGTTCAATTCAGTCTATTTTGCAGAAACCCATGTACATTTCAGAATGATACTAACATTACATGAAGACAATACCTGATAATTTTATATTATATCACAATATTTACTAAAGTTTCTCGAGCACACATATATCACTTTAAAAAAAAATATTACTGAAGTTGAAAAAAAAAAGAGAGAGAGATTTATATTAGTGGGGAAGTCTTAATGTTTTTTTATTTTATTGAATACTGAAATTTTGATTCCGACATAATTTCAAAAACCTTATTTTCTATGCTTTGTCATACTCTCTAGGTTATATAATTTTTTAATAGGTTTAGTAAACCCGTAGTATTATTGCTTCATAAACATATTCAATGATGGTGTCCCACAAATGCTACAAAACTGAAGGCTTAAGTGAAATTCACACAGCTTATGGTGAAAAATTATAAATAGTAGGTTGGTAGACAGCAACACCTCCAGAGATGAACTACTGTCCTGGCAAGTGAGTGTAAGACAGAAAAATGAATTTGTTTTACATGATGGTAGGAGTGCTGATGTCTTTTTTTTCTCATAAAAACACACACAATAACGGGCATATCTTGCAACTTTTATTTACAATTAGGTCACATTACACATGAATGTACACATTTATGTATACACATCATTTTTTTCTTAATAGTTTTGTTTTTTATTACAAGAATTTTCCTCTGCAAGACATGGGTGATGTAAAAGTCAACTAATATGCCAGGAGCAATGGGCCACTAACCCATTCTCCCGTACAGCTTACTAAAAATAAAAATAAAACCTTTAAGTTGGGATGTCTGAATGCGCATGGATGTAGTGTGGTGACAAGAAGGAGATGACTGTGGATGTTATGAATGAAAAGAAACAGATGTCCTGGCTCTAAGTATAACAAAGCTGAATGGGGTAGGAGTGTTTCAGTGGGGAGAAACAAATGGGATTAGGTCGGGGGTTTCTAACAGTTAGAGATAAGGAAGGAGTAGTAATAATGTTAAAGGATCAGTTATTGCAGGAAAAGAGGGAATATAAATGATTAAATTCATGGATTATGTGACGTAAAATTAGGGTGGGATGTGAAAAGTGGGTTACAGTGTTAATGCACACTGGAGAAGAGAAATGTAGAGGAGAGGGAGTGATTCTAGGAGATGTTGAGTGAGTGCAGGGGAAGTTTTGAACCAAGAGAGAGAGTACTTGTGGTGTTGGGAGCCTAAATGCTAAAGTGGGTAAAACTGTTGTGGAGATAGTAGTAGGTAAATTTGGGGTGCCAGGGGAAAATGAAAATGGGGGGCCTTCAATTGAATTATGTATAGAAAGATGTTTGGTAATAAGTAATATTTCTATGAAAAAGAGGATAAATAAGTATACATGGTTTGATACAGCACATAATGAAAGTGGTTTGTTAGATTACGTATTGGTGGATAAAAGGTCGATGGGTAGTCTTCAGGATGTGCTTGTTTAAAGAGAGTTAGTTAGTTTAATATGTTTATTATGCACCCCATACCCATCCTGTGGGCGGTAGTCAAAAGATTACAGAGGTACATAATGGGTCCAGGGACTGGGCCTCAAAGTTTTGATAGCTGAGCAAGTTACAGAGGTAATGAATTCACAATTTACAAAGGTAATGAACTCACAATTACAAAGGTAATGAACTCCAGGTAGGTCTAGTCACAATCATGACAAGTTACAAAGGTATTTACAGATTACAGAGGTACACAATGGGTCCAGGGACCGGGCTCCAAAGTTTTGATGGCTGAACTAGGTACAAGGTAATGAACTCACAAGTTACAAAGGTAATGAATACTGTAAGAATGGTTACTTACGTTTATACATGGCTGCAATCATGAACAAATTTTAGAGTAATGAGCAATTCACACTTCCACACCCGGTCACAACTGTAGTGAGTTATTGGTGCAAATGTTGATTGCTGAGTCTCTCTCTCTCACACACACACACACACACACACACACACATACAAATTCATACACACACACATAAACACACACACACACACACACATACACACACACACACACACACTCATACTCACACACACACACACACACACACACACACACACACACACACACACACACACACACACACACACACACACACACACACACTCATACACATACACACAAACACACACACACATGCACATATGTGGTAATGCTTTATTTACAGCTAGCAAAGTCAGGGTATTTCTCCAGAATGGTCTGTAATATACCACTGTGGATAAAATACTTAGCATTTCTTGAACACTTCTGAGTGAGTTGTTTTCTAAATTCATTAATTTTATCGCACTCCAGTACATATGACGCAGGGGTGACAATAATCCATCTGGCAAAGTTTACATTTCGTTTGGTCTACATCTGGTGGTGGTGATTTAACCTGCCAAAGATACTTGTAACCCAGCCGGAGCCGGGCGGTAGTGACATCCAAGAGTCTGCTTATTTTGTTGGATGCACCATAGACATGTGGCTCCTCCTGCATGATAGAATGATGATAGATGGACTCACTGGTGTCAATCTCCCTGAGCCTTAAGTCCATAAAATTCAGAGGCAACAGATATATCGCATCATTATTTAGTTGTAGCTACAGTTAGTAAGAGGTAAACGGAGCAAAAAGAAAAAGACAACAGCAAATAAGAGGCAGAGCTGAAAGTTTATAAACTAAGGGAGGAGGAACTTAAGGTGAGACATAAACAACTATTGGGAAAAGGTGGGCTAATGAGAGTATAGGAAGTATGGGGGTTTGAAGAGGGGTGGGATAGTTTAAAAAGGCAGTGTTAGAGTACAGAGCAGAAGTCTGTAGTTACAGGAGGGTGGGTGCAGGAGGAAAGAGGAATGTTTTCTGGAATGATGAGGTAAAGGGTGAGATAACACAGAAAAAGATTGTGTATGAGAGATTTTTACAGAACAGAACTGATATCAGAAAGGAGTATACAGAGTAAAAGAGAGGCAAAGAGAGTGGTGGGCAGAGTGCAAAAAAAGAAAAGTGATAGAATAGGTAACGTGCTGTCAGCAAATTTTGCTCAGAACAAGAAAAAATTTTTGGGGATAAATAGGTTAAGAAAGCCTAGGGAACAAATGGGTCTGACAGTTAAAAACAGAATAGCAAAGTCAGTAGATGGGGAGCTGGAGGAAAAAGCAAAGATGGCAGGAATATTCTGAGCAATTATTAAATGCTGATGAAGAAAGGGAGGTGGAAAAATTTTATGCACTGGCAAGGGAGGTATAACATCTTTTAGGATGAAGAGGAGCCAAAATGCGAGTATGGGGGAGGTGCGAGAGGAATTAGGGAGAATGAAAGGGGGTAAAGCAACTGCTGCTGCCACAGCATGCGGGGAGCAGCAACCTCCAAGCTCCGTACTTTTTCTCCAACTATCAGAGTCCCAATGCTCCCATGATGGACCTAGTTACAAGCAAAACTGCACTACCCAACATAGCACCCAGAATGACGAAAGATTACCAACAGTGAAACCTACAAATCGTAAATATTAGAGATCAAAGGAAGACTGCCCACAAACCGAAAGCAACACCCCGCTGCCAGCCGAACAACGAAAAACCCCAAGCTTTTTTATAACTACAACTTCTTTTTTTTTTTTTTTTTTTTCAACAAGTCGGTGTCTCCCCCGAGGCAGAGTGACCCAAAAAAGAAAGAAAATCCCCAAAAAGAAAATACTTTCATCATCATTCAAACACTTCACCACACTCACACATTATCACTGCTTTTGCAGAGGTGCTCAGAATACAACAGTTTAGAAGCATATACGTATAAAGATACACAACTTATCCCCCAAAACTGCCAATATCCCAAACCCCTTTAAAGTGCAGGCATTGTACTTCCCATTTCCAGGACCAAGTCCGACTATATGAAAATAACCGGTTTCCCTGAAACCCCTTCACTAAATTTTAAACCCTGCTCACACTCCAACAGATTGTCAGGTCCCAAGTATCATTCGTCTCCATTCACTCCTATCTAACATGCTCATGCACACTTGCTGGAAGTCCAAGCCCCTCGCCCCCAAAAACCTCCTTTCCCCTCTTTACAACCCTTTCGAGGACGACCCCTACCCCTCTTTTCCCTTTCCCCCATAGAATTATATGCTTTCCATGTCATTCTTATTATTTTTCCCCTTTTTTATCCATGGCGAAGTGGAATAAGAATCTTTCCCCCGTTTAGCCATGCGTGTTTTTAAAAATTTCAACTAAAATCCCGGGAAACAAGGGGTAGAAACCCCCTTTTTCCCTGAAAAGATTACTAAAAAAAAATAAAAAAGAAAAAAAACTTCTTTTTAAAACTACAAAAATTTCCCGGTGTATTTTGAGGGGGCAATCTAAGAGGAAACAGCCCCCAAGGCCAGAAAGGGAAAAAACCGAAAAATCAACTATTAAAAAGTGTAGCCGGGAGGACCCCCGGGCCCCAAAAAACCAAACCCCATTCACCCCCGTAAGGTGACACCACAACAATAACAAAAAATATGGCTGCCACCACCCCTTCCTCCCCTCTTTTCCCCCGTTTTAAACCCTACCAATTTGTTCTCGGGTTTATGCCCAATGATCCATTTCCCCTTAAAGACATGAAACCCCTCCTTAGTTTTTAAAAAAATATAAAATCTTCGAGAACACAAACAAAACAAAAACCAGGTGACACAACTCGAGAAAAACCCCTCAGTCTTAAACAAAAAGTTATCAAAAAGGGTGCAAAACTGTGAAAAGGGACCACCCAAACAGCCCT